GAGAGTCCTGCAAGTGCACTCCATTGACTGTGCTCTTGAACACTGCTGCTCCCTCCTTTGTCCGTCCTCCCAAACTTTAAACCCGGATGTCACTTGGACCCCAACATGACCAATCAACAAATCATGCCAGTGCCCATCCCTTCAGCCCACTGCTTGCACGCAGTCTCCTACCTGGGATCCCAACCTCCAGGCTCAGCCCTTTCATTTTTTTTCCACGGACCCCAGACAAGCCATTCTCCCCTGGTACCACTTAGCATTTGTTACTTCCAGCCTCACCAAGCCTTCGACAGCTTCCCATGATGCACAAATACAAGTCCAAACTCTCTACTTTGGTGTGAAAGACTAGACCCTCCGAGGCCCTCCATCCTCTGAGGCTTTGGACCGCCATCTTCCATTCCCTACCCTGAGGATTCTGCAATTGTCTGAGCACCTTGTACACATTCCCACCTCTCCTCCTACCTATTCTGGAATGTTGCAAGAATTGAATTTTGTTGATTCCAACTTAAATCCCCCTCTTGAGGGGCTGTCTCCCCTGGACTAAGGCCAAGGAGTCCCGTACCTGGCATTCTTTAAGGATCTTACAAACGGGTCTGCCTCCTGCTACTGCCTTGCATGTAAGCCTGTAATTATGCATCTTTCTCTCCAAAGACACTGTAAATTCCTTGTGGGCACGGGTTGTATTTGATGGTCCTTTGAAGCCTCAGATTTAAATGTAGGGCCTGAAGGTTGCACTTGCTGCTAGGCTTGTGGATTTTAGTCTCCTGTGATACCCCAGGAACAAGCCTAGGGGAGTCATAACATCGATTGGGACAGCTGCACAACTAAGATTAGGTCATCCTTGGAGTGGAGAGGGAACCTGGTCTGAGAGAAGGTGAGCAGGGAGAAGCCAATGGAGGAAAGTGGAGAGTGAAGAAATGACCCTTTTCTTCTGAAAGAGAAGGGGAACTCTGTACCTATCAACAGGGAACACCAGCAGAGACCCAGCCCTAGAGTGTCCTGGACAGGAATTGCTGTCACTGTGCAGAGATTGGTAGCACTAACCCCAGCTTCTAGGACATTCCTCCTGAGGGGCCAAACTACCTGGCTGCAGGTTGGCATGAAAGCTGATTCGGACGAATACAAATACCGTCCATCACAAGCCAACACAAAGAAAATGTCCACCATCCAAAGAGGAACGGAGGAAAGAATGCATGTGTGGCTAGGTGCCTAAGCATCTGGGCATCTTTGGGCTGGGGCAGCAGGGCCCTTTTTCTTTTCTTCTGCTGATCCAGATGCAGTGGGGAGGCAGGGAGATCAAGAAGACTGCAGATATCCTTTGTTAAAACTCTCTGCCAAGCGATTCCCAGAGTTTCACCCTTTTTAAGCTAGAACTTAATGACATCTCAGATGTCCCCAAACCCCAGCCATTTAAAGGTGTGGGTGACAGCCCACCCTCCACTGGATTCTTAGGGTCAGAGATGGTCCCTTCCGTGGAAAGGGTTTTCTGGGTGGAAAAAACGGGTTTGGGATCTGAAAGATGGAGAAGGTGGGCAAAAGCTACTGTCCATGACTCCCTGGCGGTGGTACCAACCAGCCCTTATCCTAGAGACAGGAGCAGGGCCCAACCTTCCCTTCCTCCTTCACACACAGGATTCTCCCTGCCCATTCCTTCCCACCAGAGCTACTGCGGGCACCCTGTGCTCAGCCCCCATTCACCCCACAATCCTGTAAATGACCTGGAAGAGAGAAGAGTTGGGTGGGGAGGACGAGGAATGAGATGCAGAGAAGACAGCCGTGGAGGGAGATGTGGCCCAGGCCCAGCCTGCCTTCAAAGAGGCTCTGCTGGGGACAAACCCCTCCCCCCTGCATAGCTGAGCAGTCAGACTCCTGACAGCCTCCGAAGGGGGACATGGGAGGTGGAAAGGAGCCTGCCTCTTGGGTCAATTCATATTTGGAATTATCGGGGTATTCCTCGAAAACAAAAGGCTGCTGGAGGGCCAAATAAAACAGACCGCCTGTCTCGTACCGCAGGGCTTCTCCTACGGTGGGTCGCAAACCATTAGTGGGTTGTGAAATCAATTTAGTGGTTTACAGCCAGCATTGTCCAATGATAGATGAGAAACAAAAACCTCAGGGTATCACTCACAAAATGGGATAAATGCCCCCTGCCCCAGTTACGGTCTTGTGTTATACCTAAATATCTGCACTGGGTGGAGATGAAAAGTTTATTCAACTTATTTCTAACTATGGTTTTGTGGTCAAAAGCTTTAAAAGGCATTGGGCTGGTTGAGATGATGGCCACTGGGCCCAGGTGACCCTGGAGGGGTGCCTCAGCCTCTGTAAGGCAAGTCAGAACTTGAGGTACCGGGTCTGTTTTGGTTGGGTGGACCAAACAGCACTTGTAGGCCACTCCTAACCACCTCACTGGTCACCCCGGATGGGCGGTACTGTTTTAGGAAACCTCCTTTGAGGAGTGTGTTCTCTGTCTGAATGCTGTGACTCTGCATTGCTTTAGGTCCTCATGTTAGCTTCTGAGATGTGCAGACTGGAAGAAGAGAGCCCTGTGGAACTCAAAGAGAACCAGATAATGGTGAGGCACAACGCAGGGAATATCAGCGGCCTTCTGGGGTGGGCTCTGCACCTGCCCTGCCCACTTGAGCTCCAGGGGTGGGCAGGGCAGGTGCCCTGTCAGGTTAAATGCAACGTACCCAAATGAGAAAACTCAAGGGTCTGGGGGAGGGGGCTGGATCCCACTGGGTTCCTCCATCAAAGCAGTGGCCTTTGTTGGCTCTAAGCTTCATTCAAGAAAGAGAAAAGAGGGCAAGCCTTTCCTCGTTCTTTGCAGGGATATTTCCCAAATCACTGCAGTTTATAGAGTAGCATTTAGAATGCTGAGAAGGGAGGACATAGAATATGAATGTGGTGTGGATACACAAAATGCCGCTCCTATGTGTGCTCAGCAGTGACAGCATTTGACTAAGATGAGACTCCATTTGAGACATCTCTGAAACAGAGTGGTAGAGGTGCTACATGGAGAGATGACACATTTTACCATAGAAAAAAATTACAGATTATCTAGAACACTGCCTTGAACATAGTACATGCTAAATTTAGTCAGAGAAGCAATTTTAGCAAACATTTAAGAATTATTTGTGCTTGCTTAATTGCTGTAGAAAAAGAGATCGAGTGCGATTCAAAGGTGCCTGTCTCTGTGGTCTAGGCAGCAGGCAGAAATAATAATAGAAATTGGGACTCTCCTGTTAAATACAAGCTCTGGCTTTTGAAGTGGAGATCAAGAGTTTATTGTTCTTTATTTCAAAATTCATTTTCTCGACTAATTAGTAAGCTCTCCCCATTTTCCTCCCTCTTCTCCCTTTGTTCCCTCATACCCTTCTCTCCCCCTTCCAGGGCTACCCGTCTCCCCAGCATTCAATACCTGAAAAGGCTGGGAAAATGATTTAGACAATGGATGTTGGTATTGGACCTGGGGCTAAGCTGATAGTCTAGACTACTTCCCAGGTTTGAACTTCATCTTACTTCCACTTGGGAATAACAAGAAATAACCCCAACTCAGGGATGCATTCACTGAACTCATGTGACATAGAGAAAGCTCTTTATTGTTGTCACTTTCTCTGTGGACACTCTTTAAGCAGTGGTGGCAGCCCAATAGTGGCCATTTCTCAAGACCATGCCCACAAACCCTCACTGAGTTCCCCTCTCGGCACTGTACCTAGGTGAGGGGATCCTGGGAAGGGACAGGGACCTGAGCCTTTGGTCTCTAGAATGTGCTCTTCTTGTCAGAGAGAACACACAAACAGAAGGAACAGTGATGGCTGAACAAGCTCATGTGTTAACCACCCGAAACAGAATTTCACTATCATTGCTTTTTGCAGATTAAACTTCTGCACGTGGGGGAAAAAGTTGAGGTTCTTCCAGGGAAGGATCCTTACGGATGACTTTGACTTTCTGTGTGGACTCGAGTCAACTGTTCCTTTGGGGCAAATCTTTCAGTGAAGGCTGGGACAGTGTGGCTAGAGAAACAAAACAACGGAGTCAGAAATCATGTTGGTAACACGGTGGCTTTTTAAAAATGAATTTCATTTAGTAAAAATTTGAGATAAATACTCCTGACGTCTTTCCCTCTGGAGTGGGCAGTAAAAGACTGAAGGCCTCCACCATGATTCCTAGTCAATGGTTTGTGGATGTAGTTCCCAAATTCTGTGATAAGGTCCCCCGGGGTGCTGCAGCAAACTCCCAGGAGGGCCACAGAATATTGTAAAGTTTTCAAAGTGACCAGAGTGACATCCGTTAGACATCACATTGACCTCACTACCGATTAACCAAACTTCCAGCTCTTTCTTTTGGCCTAGAGACAAGCAAAGCATGACTGGGGACAATGAGGGCATCCTGAACTGAGAATATTCCACAGGATTTTAGGGGTTTAGTTATGCTGCCAGCATGTACACGAGTGGACATACACGTGGCAATATGCCTGTGCACAGACATCTCTTCTAAACATCCCTTTCCCAGTTTTGTCGTTGGCCAGCTTCTTTGAACCTGCTGTTACTAATTTGTTTCAGTTAAAAAAAGTTGCAGGCTTGGCATGAACTTGATCTTGATTCACAGCATTCACTTATTAATTCAAAATCAGAGGCAGCCTTCCTGTGGGGATAAGAAATTGCTGGTTAGCTCAAAAGGCTGTGAGTTTCCATCATTGGACAGGCCGCCAAGCCAACATGCAAGCTGACACAATTTGCCTCTGGGGCCAGTGAGTAATGGGTGGCTTCACCTCTTCCTTCCTGTCTTTGCCCCTTCTTCTTTGCTGGCCCCCAGGCTGAATCTCTGCTTATCCCTTTCCTCCCATTTACATTCCTCCTAAGGCCACCTTCTCCCAGTACTGTGGATCATGCTATTCTGGAGCTTCTCTGCATGACAGTTGCCTTCAACTGCCATTGGAATTTTCTCTTCTTGAAATTCTCAGCAGTTGGTGCCCTGGTTCTATAGCCAGGTGGCCTCTTAAGTCTCGGGGACAGGGGGGTCCAGACCTTTCTGTGGAGATGTAGGAGGCAGTACTAATGGAAATGTCCAGTGAAAATGTGATGAATCAACTTAATAACTCAATTTCCATCACAGGTTTGAGAACAGCCTTTGCTTCATGTGAGACCCTAGTCCCCGCCTTATCATTTTCTAGGGGCTCTTCCTGTTTTAGCTGAAGAAAAACTTGATGTGGGAGCCTTATCAGGCCCAGGAAGAGATCTGTTGCTAGGGAAATTTGGCCTTCATTTGGTCTTTCTCCTGCCCCCTACTCTCCCATTCTTTGCCATGGCTCATGTCCTTCCAGGTAGACAGCTTGGGACACACTGCCCACACACAGAGAATGGGATAAGGCTGTATGGGAATTTCAGATCTGGATGTAAGAAACTTTTTCCCCTTCTCCTGGCAACAGGGAGAAGAGACTAAAGTCTCCAAGATTGTGGTGCCCATGTGCCCCCACCTCTGGCAACTGGGCCTCTGGTAGACCTTGGCTATGCCTTGCAGGGCTTCTGGACCTTGCTGATCTGGCTTTTCACCATGGGAAAGGGGTTGGAGAACAGGCTGCCCCCCTTCCTTTGACACGTCCTCAACTCCTCTGAGTTTTCATCTACCCTGTATCAAGATATGAGGATATTTTAGAGATGGACAGGGGCTCTGCTTTTTAAAAATCACACGTAAAAACAATAGTGGCTAAGTGGAAACTCAATTGGAGATCCGATTTGAAGGCTAGGGTTGAAGGCCCTTTAAGAATAAGGTTCAGGACACGGAACTCTCCTGTGCTCTTTCCTCCTTTAACACGCCATTAGATCTAAGCATCTTTGGGGTGGGGGTGGTGTGTTTCCACCCGGAAAATCCATAGTCCTTCTCTCTTAGTGGACCAAGGCCTTCTGTGCCCCTGGGAAGGGTATGGAGCCTGGCCTGGGTCCTTCTGGGCTGGGCTGATGTGCAGGAAAGGGGCAACCTGAAGCAGTCTCCTTCTGGCTGGGGCCATCACTGGGATATCTGGGTCTTCAGTTTTAACATGAGCAAAGGAGCTTCTACAGACAGCTTCTACTTGGGCCTGCAACACATTCGTACCTCAGAAATAGCCCACCAACTGTTAGCCTCTGATGGCAGTACCTGCAGGCAGCCAGGCTTGTGCCAAGAACAGAGACTATAGTGACGACTTGCTCAAAATGGCAGCCCCAGAAGGATTGCAAAGAGATTTGGGAAAAAAGCCCAAGTGCATTTGTTGCTTCAGTGGAACTAAGTGAGCACGCTGCTCTGGCCGTGGCAGAACCACAGAGGAGGGCTCCCTGATCGGGGCCTGTGTGCTTGAGAAGGCTCCAGAGAAGGGAGAGCCTGAGCAGAATCTGATGGTGGGTGGAGGGAGCATTTGAGCTGGGCTGGGGAGGCTGGCTTGGGTGAAGCAAAAAAGGTATGACCTAGGAGAGGGGGGGGAATAGGGAGAAAAGTGTGAAGGGAAAGTTTGCAGAGGGAATGAGATGGGTATAAGGGTATTGCTGTACCTAACTGGCCCTCTAAGCTGTGTTATGAAACTCACTTGGTCAAAATGGTGCCCATGGAGTTGGGCGGAAGGTGCCTGCTAGTGCTTCTCACCCTAATTGTGAGTTGCATTTTAGGTCACGCAAGTGGCATCTGGGGTGTGTGTGTGTGTGTGTGTGTGAGACTAGGAGGGAGCGGGGCTCAAGGGGAGGGTAGCTCTGGGTCCCGGGGAAGAGAACAGAGGAGATGATTGAGCTGTTGGCTGGAGTTGGCTGCACTGCTAGTGAGCCCAAAGCTGGGGACAAGGTCCTCCCTCATTTTTAGAATCCCTTCCCCATCCCAGATGAAAGGAGGGAGGGCTCCAGGCCATGAGAAGCTTGAGGCATTTGAAGGAATTGGAATCCACAGGTGAGGTCTAGGAGCAGTTGGCCAGTAGGCTGGATTATTGTTTCTTGGTTTTTCTCCCTTGAAGGGTGGGGTGGAGGACAGTCCTGTGAGTTCTTTTCATTGAAGGCTTCTGGGGGTGCTTCTGAGGAGTTTCAGGACAGCCCGGAGTGGGAGTGGTGAATTACTCTTTGGTGAGCAAAACTGACCTCTCTAGACTTCACTCCCTGTCCAGGCTTTGGGGTGAGGGCATGTGTCCCTGTACCCTCTGAAGTATGGCTGCCTGAGTTCTGAGTGTGCAAGGTAGGCGAAGGGCTTTCCAGGGGCCCAGCTGAGAGGGAGGCCAAGGAATACCCAGGAAATGTATTGCTCTCTTATTCCAGATCTGGAAAAGGAGGCACTGGAGAGTCAACCTCGACATGGCGGGCGCAGGACTTTTCCTTTTGGGTTATTCTAGAAACATCCTGCTTCTGCCATGCTGGCTTTAGCAGGGGAAGCTCTTCTTTTGTCTTTTCTGCACTTCTGTAGACTCTGGGCTAGTCTTTAGAATGTGGAGCAAAAAAAAGAGTACTCGCCATATACCTTGGTTTTTCAATTTGCAATATCACTGTCTTTGGGTTGAGATTGTCAGAGATCCCTTCAGAGTTTGCAGACTTCAAGTCTGGGAGGTCAAATTTATCTCCTACTTCCAGGAGTATTTCCAAGGAGCATAAGCTTCCCCCCTGAAATTCACACCCTAGAGAACTGTCCTCAGAGTAAAACTGGAGCGCCACTCTGAATTTGGAGCAGCATTTTGCTGCTACAGTTGTCTCGTTCTCTATTAATTGCCATGGACTCCCTCATTCTTTCCAAGTATTGTTTTTTCCAGGGCCTGATTTTCATCTCAGGTGTCATTTCCAGAGCTTGCACTCCAGCTAAATTCTTTATTGGCTTGTTAGTTTCCTAGGGTTGCCGTAACAGAGTACTACAAACTGAGTGACTCGAAATCACAGAAATTAATTTTTCCCAGTCCTGCTGCAGACTCAAAGTATAAAATGAAGATGCCAGCAGGCCGGGTCCCTTGTTGGGGGTTGTGGGGGAGAGCCTGTGCCATGTCTCTCTCCCAGGTTCTGGTGGTTACTGGTGATCCTTGCCATTTTTTTTGGCTTGTGAGGGGGGACCACTGCAGTCTCTGCCTCTGTTATCACATGGTGTTCTTGACTCCATCTTTGTGTATCCTTGTCTCTTTGTACAAGGATTGTACATTGGATATAAGGTCCACCTTAATCCAGAATGACCTCATCTTAGCTAATCACATCCGAAAAGACCCAAGTAAGGGCACATTCTGGGGTTCTGGGTGGATGTGCATTTTGGGGGAGATGCTACTCAATCCACCAAAGTCTCTCTGCCTTCCATCTATCTATCCATCCTAAAGATCACTTAGCAGGAACAGCCTATTCCTGCTCCTGAACTCTTCAATGACTCCACACTGCCAATAGAAGAAAGTCCTATCTCTTTAACTCTGCTTTAGGAGACAAAGCATAGTCTGGTCCCAATGATCCTGTTTGTTTTTGTTTTTTTTTTTTACATCCTGAATCTCTACTCTTCTACACACATAACCCTCTAGTCACATAGGAAAACTCTTCCGTGTTGTTGAACGTATTGTTGGCACTTGAGATACAAATATCATATCCTTTCATTTCTCAGGAGAACATTTGCCACTAGCCCAGGTCATAGTCTGACTCTACTGGCTCTGAACCATTCCTCAATCTGAAGCGATGTCATCCTTTACTGGGCTTTGCATTTCATCCAAGGATGAGCCTGTGTGCTATATTTTTGGGGGGTCCTTGGGTTTGCCAGTGGTGTCTTGAATCATGTGGCTTTGTGGTAAATGCCTGTGGATGCTGCAGCTAGTGTGAGATGTTTAGGGGCTTGCTTTAAATCTGACATGATTTAAGACTATTGTCTTTGGGTGTGATCACTGCATTCCTCCATGCCTATGGCCCCGTGATATCTAAAGCGGCTGCAGAGCCTGTGTTGAGATGAAATGAGGGGGAAGGAGAGAATCATTGCTGCTTTGAGAATCTATAGCGTGGTGGATGGCCTTTCAAAGGAAGAGGGAACAGGAGGAGAAGCCATTCCTCAGGTCAGATACCAAGAGGTTCTGGGTTCAGTGGGAAAAGCATCCAGGAAGAACCACTCTCCTCCTCTGCTGTGGGCAGTTGGTGAACAGTGTGGTGGGCAAGGGATAGGGACTGGGAGGAAGGTAAAGGAGGAGACACACACAGAGTGGAAAACAGATTTCACCACCCTTCATTATCAGCTTTGATAAAACTCGAAAGTAACAAGTTTTTATTTCCATGGTTGTTGTTATTATCTTCTGCCAGACCTTCCTAAGTGGCAGTGATTTTGAAATCTTTGAAGCCACCAGGGCCCTTCCTTACTAGGTTGTGGCAATACTCCTCTTACGAACTCGGGCTAAACAAGCACCCAGGGAAGATCACCTGCCTCCAGAACTATCCTCAGACAGCTTGTAATTGAAGCTCTGATCTTGTCAATTGGACCCAACTTCTATATGAGTGGTTCCTCACCTGGCTAGGCTCAGAAAAGCTCTATCTTAACTGCAGAAACAGGCAAGCCTCGGCCCCCATTAAAATGATTTGTTCTTAGACATTCCACCTAAAATGTTTACCGGATTGCCTTCTGGTATAGTGCCAGTTTGGCTATTTCAGCAGTCGATATTTCAACACAAGAGGAGGAATTTAGTTAAATTTTCATTGTCAGTCTTTTTAGTTCCTCAGGACAATTCAAGTTTTAATAAAACAAGCAAAACCCCCAAAGGGAAAAACTTGTTTGAGTTTATCCATCTACATAAAGAAGACACATGAGTTTGAAATGTCACCTGAGAATCAGGAAGGGGAGAGGAGATGATAGGCAAAGGATGGATTGTTTATGATTCTGCTCCTCAGCAGTGATTTTTCTCTGTTCCCTATTAACTAGAACTTTCTATCCCCCTCTGACAAAAGACAAGTACAAAGAGCATGTAGCACAAAATCTCACATGAAAAGATTTTTCAATGGCTCAGTGTCCTAGCTGGGACTCAGAATTATTCGTTAGATGAAAAAACCAGAAGCCCTGACAGCCTCTTAGGTGTCTCTGATTCCACTGATTGTTGGTTTTGAGGTTGAAGCACATGGGGCTTTTGAACATCCGTCTTTTGCCAGTTGCTGTTTCTGCAGAGGGAGGCTGGGCTAACCCAACACTGGCCTAACCTCTGGAACATCAAGGATTCTAGTATTTGCCCCTGTGTCTCTTTTTCCAACTAGACAGTGAATTCCTTGAGGGAAAGGAGGATGTCCATTTGGCTTTTGCATCCTTAGGGAGCTGCTCAGTAACTGGCATGGAAGAACACTCTGAAAACAGTTTTTCTTTTTTTTTTCCTTTTTTAAATGATAGTGGTTTAAAAACAGCCAGGCCCTTTGAAAAACCCAGGGCATTATATTCCTGTTTTTCTTCAGCGCATACACAAGGTTGATGTGAGGTGGCACCAGGATATGGATTCTGCCCCACAGCTGTGCTAGGAGCAGGGTCTTTGTAACTTAAGGCAGGGGAGACGGAGCCCTGGCCAGCAGAGTAAAGTCAATGGGATGTTGTCATGCTGCTGTTAGGGAGGGAGGGTGGATTAGTGTTCTGTGGCTGCTGTAACAAATTACCCCAAGCTGAACATGTTAAAGAGCATCAATTTATTGTCTTAGAGCTTTCCCTGGGCTTATGTGGAAGTGCTGGCCAGGCTTTGCTCCTCCAGGAGGCTTTAAGGAACAATCATTTTCTTTTTTTTTTCCATTTCTAGAGGCCACCTGCATTTCTTCCCACTTGAAAGCCAGAACCTTCAAATCTGTCTCTAATTCTGATGCTACTTGGCCTGCCTCCCTCTCATTTCCAAGGGCCCTTGTGATTGTAATAGGTTCATCCTGGATAACCCAGGATTAGGTCCTTGTCTCAAGGTTAACTGATCAGTAACCTAAATTCCACCTGCAGCTTAATTCTCCATTGCTACATAACATAACATATTCACAGGTTCTGGGGAGAAGCACATGGATATATTCAGGGGAGCATTATCCCATCGACCACAGGGGAGCCCTTGGACGTCATAGAGTCCAGTTATCCCCATTCTGTACTTGAAACTCGAGCTCATAGAGTTTATGTGAATTCCAATTGTTTCCTCCACAGGAGGGAAAATCCCCTCTTGTGCCTGAGCCATCTGTCTCCAAAACCCTAAGCAGGACTCCACTAGAGGCAGGGGGCTCCTCTCCCTCCAGTCCCCTTCTATACCTGTGTCTCATGGGTTCCCCACCAACCCAGAGAAGGATGTTTAAGGTTGAAGGGGTGAGGCACTCTCACCTTTGTCCAGCCTGAAGGGGGGATGGTGGTCACTGCATGAGGTCTGAGAATGGATTTGATCTATTCATAAGAAGCTTATTGTAGCAAAAGCATGATCTCTTACAAATGTTGCTGCCAAAATGCCCCGTTGCAGACACTGTGCTCAGTGACCAAGGACTCCAAGAGCCTGAAACCCTAGAACCTCCCTTTTTTTTTTTTTTTAGAAAGTCCATGAAGGGATGCTGAAGAGCAAGCCCCAACTGTGGTTTACAAGTGACAGTGACATTTGCTGGCTGGGCAGCTGCTGTGGATTTAACAGTCTAGATGCCCTGTTGGACCAGCAGAAAAGAGGGTTTCAGCTGCTGGAGAAGGTACTGGTGATTATGGCATAGAGCCCAAGTCCAAGGCAGCAGGTGGCCCAGTGGAACCACAAGAGGACTCTCTTCCAGGTCAGAGCCAGAGGAAAAGACACAGGAGGACTTACTGCATGAGACTTTCACTTGGAAAGCGCAAACCATGATCTGGGGGAGCAGGTTCCCTGACAAGGGGGTCGAGTCTCATTCCTGCCTCCAGCTTACTTTGTTTTGTGCAGCTGCTCAGCCTTTCACCCTCCACGCTGCACCTAGAGCCTGAAGGTGGCCAAGGACACAAGGGCCCAAGAACTTCTTGCTTGGGAAGTGAATTTCTCAGAACTCTGAGATGAAGCCAGTCTTGGGAGGAGGACAAGGCACTGAGGAGAGACAGTTGGGGGTTACTCCAGGAAGATCCCTGGAGGAGGAGCATCGTAGACCACAGCACACTGTTGGGTCATGGAAAGGCCATCTCGGCATAGTACTACAGAGTTCCCTTTCATCCCCAGCAAGTGACAAGTGAGACAGAAAACCTGTCCCCTAGGAGTGGACAGTGAAATGCAAAGCAAAATGTCCACCACCCAGGTGAGAGCCCATGTCCTGCAGCTGAGAGGGCCCCAGGGGACTTAGGCTTATCACCTGGAATGAGTTGTTTTTCTTTGAAATACTCAGGTCTTTTGCATGGTATTCCCAATTAAGACTTGTGTTCTTTGAGAAAGGCAGAGCTTAAAATCCTGAAAAAGGCAAAGGGACCCTTTTAGGAAGGTGCGTGTCACTGAACTTGGGAAGAACATACTGAAATAACCTGGGGACTCAAGTCAAGGCTGTGGACAGTAGCTCCCGTGGTTGTGATGGTGCTGTGCCAGTGGCCTGGGTGAGGAAGCAGAGGAAACCTACGCTATTGAGTGTCTAAGAAGACCCAATGTCAAGGACGAATGGTTTATTTCGTTAGTGGAAGTGACTCCTATTTGGGACTGAAGCCGTTCACGGAGTCTTACTGAGCTGTGAAGATGGTGATGATGATCCCCAAAGTGCTGCTAAAATCCTGCAGACTCTGAGGAAGAAGTATGGCCTGATGTGCTTCATATGAACCTACAGCTGCAGACTGCGGGGCAGGGCACCTGCCTCTCCAAGGACAAGTCAGTTCAGAAGCACAGCAGCTGCTGCCCCTAGAGGCTTCGGGCCCTCCCTTCCATGCCTTGGCATTTTCATAGGCAGTGCAATCGAAGCTGCAGAAGGTGAGTGCTCCAGTATGTAGTGGAGAGTAGGATCACAAAGGGAGAGAAGATTGCTGGACTGGATGTGACCCTGTGGTGACTCGGGGGCTCTGATGCCCTCTGAATCTCTCTCCCTCAGTGACTTGTCGGCAGCTTGCCTGGCAACTTGTTGGGCTCTGGGTTGGGAAGGATGAAAGTTGAGATTTTCTTTTAGGCTTTTGGCTTTCAGATGGAAAAGGGAAAATGATGGCTCACTTTTCTTCCTTCTCACTTTTCTTCTTCTCCCTCCTGACAGGTTCTGAGATGTACAGACTGGATTAAGAAAACCTAACAGAAATGGAGGGAGAAGCAAGAGCAAAAGGTAAGGCCTTAGGGTCTGAAGGCAAGGCAAGGGGTGCAGCCGCTAAGACCCTTTCCCCATAGGATGAGTTCAGAGGTGTCAGGTTCTGGGGAGTCTGGGCATGGCGGGGTCTGAAGGACTTGTGAACTCATCCATGCTGGGCCCAGTTTCTGTTTCTGAGAGAGATCCTGGTGCCCTCTCTGGGTTATTGCTAGAGGATAAAGACTGGATACAGAGCACACAAAGTCCTGCAGGCTCTGGAGCAAGGAGAACCCCCAAAGTCAGAGTCAGGCATTTCTTTTCTTTTTTAATTGGTTGTTCAAAACATTACATAGCTCTTGACATATCATATTTCATACATTAGATTCAAGTGGGTTATGAACTCCCATTTTAACCCCGTATACAGATTGCAGAATCACATCGGTTACACATCCACGTTTTTACATACTGCCATACTAGTGTCTGTTGTATTCTGCTGAGAGTCAGGCATTTCTGATGGAAAGGCCCGCCTGAAAAATCCCAGTGTTCAAGAATTGCACTGTCAAGTTTCTTCTGGTTTACTAGAAACCAAGAACTGGTGAAAAATAGAATCTCTTTTTCTTAATTGGTTCAAGTTGCTGTCACCAACATAACAGACTGGGTAGCTGATGAACAATGAGAAATTTACTTCTCACAGTTTTGGAGGCTAAAAGTCTGACATCAGGGTAGCAGCACAGCCGGCTTCTGATGAGGGCCTGCTTCTGGATTGCACACTGCTAAGTTTGTGACTCTACATGGTGGGAAGAGTGAGTGAGCAGTCTGGGTTCCATTTGTCGGGGCACTAATCTCATTGATGAGAGATCTGCCCTTAAGATCTAATTTCCTCTCAAAGTCCTTACTGCCTAGTACAATCACGTTGGGGATGAAGTTGCAACACCTGAATTTGGGAGAGATGCATTCAGTCCATAGTATCATTTCTAGAATTCTGTTTACCACCACCAGTTAGGTTTCTGTTTTGAACCCAGTTAGCCCAGAAGCTTGATAATGAATGTCAGGTAGAAGTGTTTGAAAATGTGATATGACAAGAATATGATCATTTAAAAAAATATTTAATGTATTTAATTGATTTATTCTTCTAGATGAATTTCAATATGATTTGTTAAAGCCATCATAGTGTAGCCATCAGTATTATCTGGCACTACATTAAACCTTAGAAAGTGTAGTTGTTGTTGGACCTAGTTTTTGGACCTAGTTTTTGGATTGAGTGGTATGTATCAAGAGTGGTGGTTGAGTACACACACTATGGAAGCCCACCACTGGGGCTGTGTGTCTATTTTGCCTTGAAGTATGACCTAGAGAAGCTGGTTGGTCCTTCTAGCTCTGTTTCCTCATTTATAAAACAGAGATCAAAAAATAATATCTTAATCATTAAGATATAGTGAAGACTGAAGAATTTAATAGTATGTACTAAAAACTCAACTGTGAGCTGTGATGTCTTATTTCAATTCTTAAAAATGTGCATTTCATTCTTCTGTGGTTTTTTTTTTTTTTTTGAGAACAGTGTATTTCTTCCTCCTGTCCTGACAGCACACCCAGGAAACAATATGGTTTATGTTTGGGACAAATGATTGTGGAAAGATATTAGGAATATAGTACATGGGAATAGAAACTTCTAGTACCATTAACCTATGGTACTAGAAGTACCCAGTACCAATGCTTTACTACAAGTGTGGGCTCAGTGAAAGCTTGATGAATGATTTCAGCACATTTACCAATTTATTTTTGGTTCTTTCTAGGTCCAGAGCTCGGGAAATGTCATTGGAAAGGCTAGCCAGAGACCCCACTGTGTCCTTCCCTCTAGTATCCTGGTATTCTCTTGAGCTGGAAAGCAGACCTTTTAAAAAAAATAAAAAATTTAAAGGTGCAATGAATTGTTTTCTGCTTCTTTTCAAAATCTTCTTCAGATCTTCTCAGGTAAATACCACCTACTTTCATATCTACCCTGAAAAGCATAGTGTGAAAGAAGTCGTGTGTTTATTCCAGCCTGTGACTTCACCTTCCTGTAACAAGGAAACTTTCATTTATTTAGAGCTTTCAATATATCTGCATCCAGCAATTCATTGTATCTCACCCTGTGAGAGGAGTAGAAGCATGTGGCGTAGTAGGTGATCCTCAAATGCCAGCGCTCTGGTTTCCACATGTCAAGTGGTCCTCCTATGCCCTGCTGCCTCATAGCCCTGTGCTGTTAAGAAGCTCCTTTGAATGGGGAATGGTGGTGTCCGGAAGAATAGCTCCTCAGCCATTGATGGCTGGAGGGGAAAACTTTAGGGTCCTGATCAAA